ACGTTCACAAACATTTCCCAAGTCTGTAACTACAGATCTAACACATTATTTCTTCTGGGTGTATGTAATTCCACTGCATGGATATGTTACATACCATTCTCCTGTTTAATTTGTTTTTGTTACGGATATTGAGATTGCTTATAGTATTTTTGTTATTGAGAATGATGCAGCCACACACATTCTTATTTATATGCTTTTGTGTGTTTGTCTTATTATTTCTCGTAGGATGGATCCTGAAGAGTGGAACTGCTTTTCCTCTTAGGGCAGGCACACCAACAGTGTATGTGAGGCCCCTGCCCCCACTCCCCAGGCTGGCCAGTACTTTGGGCCAATCTGCTAGACCCAAAAACGTTAATCTCATTGAGATTTAATTTGCATTCTCCTGACTACCGGTGAAGTTGAGCATCTTTTCATATGTTTATTGACAATTTGCATTTCTTATTCAGTAAATTACCTACTCATATCCTAGAGTCATATTTCTGTCTGCCTGTTTTTTCTATTCAATTTGTGGGAGCTCTTTGTATAGCTGGGATATAATCTTTGACTCAATATATGGCAAGTATTTTCTATTGCTGTTGTCATCTTTTTATTGTAGTAAAATTCTTACATGCAGCACCCCCACCCCTCCCCCACCTTTTTTTTTTTTTTTTTTTTTTTGCATTTGGATTAGGCAGAGAGCGAGCTTTACTGTTTTCCAGATGAAGTCAATCAATCCCAAGGATTTTAAAATTATTTAATCAGGAAAAATGTACACATTTTGAGGGAGAAGGCGTGAAGATCCCAGGAAAAACTGCGCTGTTGTCCCTGCAGATAGACCCAGTAGATCTTTTTCCTTTTTTTTCTTGCTCTTGAGACAAGGTCTCATTCTGTCATCCAGGCTGGAATGCAGTGGCGTGATGATGGCACACTGCAGCCTTGATCTCCCTGGGCTCAGGTGATCTTTCTGCCTCAGCCTCCCAAGTAGCTGGGACCACAGGCATGCACCCACCACGCCCAGCTAATTTTTATATTTTGGGTAGAGACGGGGTTTCACCGTGTTGCCTAGGCTAGTCTCAAACTCCTGGGCTCAAGCCACCTGTCCTCCTCAGACTCTTGAAGTACCGGCATTACAGGCATGCGCCACCACGCCTGGCCAACCCAGCAGATCTTTAATTTACAATCTGGAAAAACCGTTTAGAGGCTGTTGCTCTCCTAGCCGGTCATGGTTTGGGCCCTTCTCAACGTGTGTATGTGTGTGTTGCTTCTTTGTGTGTGTGTCTTAGTAAAGAGGAGATATGTAAACTAAAATATTCTCCTCCCTCAAAAATCGCCTGACTTAATTATAAACCAAACCCTGTAAATAACTCTATCCTAGCAGTTGGTCATTAGATTGAGGCATCTGTTTCAGATGTGGGTCTTCCTCCCTGGTCCACAGTGAGCTCCTTGCGGCTGTGCCTTAACTTACCTCTGTTCCAAACCTCCCCAGGGGCTCAGACACAACAGTAGATGGGTACTTGTCTCAGTCCATTTTGTGTTGCTGTAACATAATAGCACAGACTGTGTAACTTATAAAGAAAGGAAATGTATTTCTCATGTTTCTGGAAGCTGAGAAGTCCAAAATCAAGGTGCCAGCAATTGCTGAGGGCCTTCATGGCAGGAAAAAGGAAGAGAGAGCAAGAGATCAAACTCCCAGCCTCAAGCCCTTTTATAATTAGCATTAATCCATTCATAAGAGTGGAACCCTCATGACCTAAACACCTCCCATTAGGTCCTGAGACAGGAATAATACAAGGTGGCTGCAGAATAATAGAAAATTTCAGGCAGCAATTTCACATAACTAGCAAAGGGAAACTGTGGAAATAGCTGCAGAGGCCATGGCCTGATAAGACCCTGAAGAACAGAGCGTGGACCAAGCTGGCTAAGATCCACTGAACCCAGCATGGCACTGGATTTGACCTAGGTTTCTCCTAGGACCTCATTATACACTCATTAACATACTAACTCACACACCCCACTAACATCGTGAGAGTTCCGAGAACACCCATATTTGCTGTAAAAATAGGTAGTGTCACAGTTCTGAGAAATCTCCACCTTTTTCTAGGAATGATCATGAATATTCCACTTCTTAGTTAAAGAAACTCATAAAGGTAGCAGCCCCAAACCCCCTTTCATGTGCGTCTCTCGAGTACACCCGCATTCCCTTTTCTTGAGTGCGTACTTTTCCCTTTGCAATAAATCGTACTTTCACTATTTTCCAAGTGGTCTTTGAATTCATTCTCTTGACAATGTCAAGAGCCTGGACACGGGCTGAGGTCTAGATCCCACTGGCATTTGGGGACCTCCCTTCCAACACTGTTGCACCGGGGTTTACATTTCCAACATGTGTTTTTGTTGGGGGACACATTGAAACCACGGCAGTACTGAACAAAACCTTGGCTTTGAAGCCATAGGAAGACTTGTTTTGTGTGTATTCACATAGTTGAAGTATTTCAACATTTTTAAGAGAGATTTTCAGGCTTCTCTATAAGCAGACTAAGAATCAGCATTAGCATGTTTTCTCCATGTACAAAGTCTTTTATCTTTCTACTTACAAATGAAGGTAACCGATAAATATTTGTTGCATTTTATCATTCTGTTAACCTTCAGATTCAGACTTGTCAGTAATTACTGGCTTGCATTAAAAGCAGGAGATTAGAGATTGAGGTCCAGGGAGTATAAATGATTTGCTCAAAGGCATGTAGAGTAACCAGGTCTCCTGTCCCTCTGTCCCTCTCTTCTGCTACACCTTGTCCCTCAACAAAGGGTGAATGACCTACTGATGGTCATTCATCTGATGAGAAAGGACAAAGGTAGGGCTTTGACTGCGAGCAACTGAACCCATCCTGGCCTATTTTCACAGTCCTGCCACGGAAGATCTGGCTGCCTTAAAATAACTCATTCAGTGATCTTGGTCTTGAACAATACCATGAGTACTTACTATATACAGGTACGCTGCTGTGCCCTGAGGATTCCCTCTGGAGCAAAACTGACCCAGGTCATCACAGGTTAGCAAGGGAGAGTGAGCCTGTCTTCTACAGTGTCACCGAAGTGAGCACTGAACAAATACTCCCAGGCATAGATCATTACAAATGGAGGTGAGTGCTGGGCAAGAAAGGACAGGATGCTAGGCGAGAATTCAGCAGGAGGGCTTGATGTCGATTAGGGGGCTAGGGAAAAGCAGAAGTGGGGCTGTAAAAGGCTTTTGCAAAGGTGAAGCCTTTTACATTTGTGAGGGAAATAACAATAATAAAGGTACTTGGAAGGGCAGCTCATCCGCATTCATGGGCCTCTTCCTAGAACTCTGGGAATCTTTCTCCCTGTAGCTCTGTAGGCATCCAGGGTCAGGGCTGGAGAGGCCTTCACAAATGCTAATCTGTGAGCATTTTATGGGTTGCCCCCTGACCCTCAGCATCCTCCTCCTTAACTAGATCCGATGGTGAGTTGAAGAGGTGGGGGCGATGGAGAATGGCATTTCCAGTTTAGAGAAAAAAGTGGGGGGGAGAGGGGGAAGCCTTTCCACCCCAATCCCAGGGCCAGGTTTCCCTCCCTCCACACAAGCCTAAGGAATGTTTTTCAAGGCAAAATCCCACCTCACTGTGTATTTGGTTGTGAAGGGGGCTGTCCAGGAGACCAGGATTGTTCTTGGAGAGTTTAGCGGGCAGGGGCAATAATGTCTGATCCCCCGCAGACAAATGCACCTGTAAGAAAGCTAGACCAGCATGAAGGAAAGCCAGGATTTGATGGTGGAGGGGCCAATGCTGCTGCTGGACAGAGAGGTGTTATTGTCCCCGGAAGAATATCATGTCGTAGTCATCATAATAATAATAACTGACACAACTATTATGGGCTGGAGACTTATGAGAGCTTTCATAACTCTCAGGTAAGAGGCACTACGAACGCCATTTCACAATTGAGGAAACTGAGGCACAAAGAAATGAAGTGGTGACAGCAGCTTTCCTTTTTCCCTTCAACAATTCGGAATCAAGCTTTTTGAGCCGAGGCTGGATCTCGGGAGGTGTGGACAGCAGTTCCATCTCTGGAAATCAGATTCGCCTGCCCATAATTGGGGAGAATGGTGGCTTTGAAAAGGTTAACTTGGGAGCCCTGGGGACGGCTGCAGGGAACGTACGCCCATTCCCCCTCGGAAGCAGAGCCAGGCCGCCTCCCCTCCGCAGTGGTGAGGACTCGTGGACAGTCCCACGGGGATGGCGGGAGACTTGCGGAGTGGCCGCCCTCCAGGTCCGCGCCGAGGCCGGGCAGCTCCGCTTTCTGCTCAGTCTCCGCGAGGTGTCGCCTTCGGCCGAAGAAACCACCGCGGCGCCACCCTCGTAGCTCGCACTTATTTATTTATTTTCAAACAAGGGGGGCGCCCCTCTCCTTTCAATTCGAAACTAGAAATATCCAGAGGTCTTGTTCCTAAGGGGGCGCGTCCTCTCCCTGCTATTTTGCACCTTCGGACTAGCCTTCTTTCGGAATTACACAGGAGCAACCTCTCTGCAAGGCCTTGCTCAACGTTGGCCTCGCGCTCAGCTGCACAACAAGCCGTCAAAGCGGGGGCTGGGTTAGAAGCATCGGTCTCCCCTCTCCAACACACACCCCCGGAGCCCTCCGTAATTTTTTTTTTCTTTTAATGACAAGCAATTGCCAGGCCCGCAGGGTGGGTGCTGCATTGCACCGCTCGGCGCGCAGCTGGTTCTCAGAGTGCAGCCGGTGCAAGCCCGGGGGTCCAAAAGGGCGGGAGGAGCACATCCCGGGCTTCCCAGCTTTGCAGCCTTCTCTCTGCAAAGAAAAGCAAGTGGCTTTTGGCGCGAAAGCCTTGGCGCCTCCCCTGATTTTTATGGAAATCAGGAGGGCGGGGTAAAGCCGCTTTCCTCTCCTTTCTCCCTCCCCCTTGTCTGCGCCACAGCCCCCTTCTCTCCCCGCCCCCCGGGTGTGTCAGATTTTTCAGTTAATAATATCCCCCGAGCTTCAAAGCGCAGGCAGTGACAGTCATCTGTCTGGACGCGCTGGGTGGATGCGGGGGGCTCCTGGGAACTGTGTTGGAGCCGAGCAAGCGCTAGCCAGGCGCAAGCGCGCACAGACTGTAGCCACCCGAGGACACCCCCGTCCCCCGGCCCACCCGGAGACACCCGCGCAGAATCGCCTCCGGATCCCCTGCAGTCGGCGGGAGGTAAGGAGCAGGGCTTCCAAACCGCCCGGCGCCCAGGGAGCGACGAGCGCCGGGGCAAGGCAAGCCCTGGACGGGATTGCGACGTGCGCACCGGGCGCCCGAATATGCCCGGGGGACTGTTTCTGCTTCCGAAACAAAACCATCTCTGGGTTTTCCCAGAAAAGCCAGTTCCAGCCCCGAAGCCATCCTGGCTAAAGGAGACCCGCCCTAATCCTTTTGCAGCCCTTACCGGGGGGAGTAATGGCTTCTGCGAAAAGAAATTCCCCCTGCTCTAGAAGATCTGTCTGTGTTTGAGCTGTCGGAGAGCCGGTGCGTCCCCACCCTAGGCTGGG